TATGAATTTCTTGTGTTGTGCATTTTTGTTCAATTTTTGTTCTGAATTTCTCGAATCGTTAAGTTTTTTGCGGTGTGATTTGCTTGTGAATCGATCAAATTTGATTTTCTTGTCCCAACAAGTGGTAGCAAAGTGAGGTGTTTGGAAGATCTTTGATTTGAGTGGGAGCAATGACCCAAAAAGTGGGGTAGAAGGTGGAGAAGTTCAACGGTTTGAATTTTGCGTTATGGAAAATGCAAGTTAAAGATTTGTTGCTTCAAAAGAATTTGTATCTGCCACTAGAAGGACTCCCTGAAAATCATGAGTCTGTGACTCTGAAAGAATGAGAAATGCTTGATTGAACAACATTAGGTTTGATTCGTGTTTCACTTTTCTCATCCGTTGCTTTGAATATTGTTAATTAGAAACTACTATAGATCTCGCGACAACACTAACATGGATGTTTTTGCTGAAGAGAAAATTTAATTTGAAGATGATGAAAGGGAGTTCGGTGGCTGAACATTTGACTAATTTCAATACTGTTTCAAACTAATTGTGTTTTCTGGGCATCAAATTCGATGACGAGGTAAGAACATTGTTAATTCTATCTTCATTGTCCGATAGTTGGGATGGACTAGTTACAACGGTGAGTAACTCTTCAGGTAATATGAAGTTAAACTTTGATGACATCATGTGGTTAGTGCTGAATGAAGAAATTCACAAGAAAAAGAGCATTGAAACTTTAAATTCTGTGTTGAATGTTGAAAACAGAGAAAATAATCTAGATTGAAATATAGTCAAAGACAGATTCAAGTTCAGGGGAGGAAGTCCAAGCCAGGAAGAGGAAATGACAAAAATGAATGCTAGAAGTACGTGAAGAAATGTCATTTCAAGAAGGATTGTAAAGCTTCGAAAAAAACTGGTGGTGGAGGTCAAGAGAAATCTCCTGACAAATATCTTCACAGGAGAAAGCCAAGGTGACTCCCTAGTTTTATCCTTAGACAATATTTAATATTAAATAATATATTCAGGTGCTTCTTTTCATGCTTGCTCCAACAAGAGATTTAAAAACTACAGTCATAGCGATCTAGAGAAAGTGTATTTGGGAGATGGCAAAGCCCGCGGTATTGTAGAAAATGGTGATGTTGATATCATGTTGCCATATGGAAAATTATGGAAGCTAAATGAAGCTTGACATGTTCCAATTTTGAAGAGAAATTTGATCTTAGGGAGCCAGTTTGCTAGGTCATGGAACGTGATTACCTTCACAAGTGATTCATGGAAGATTACCAGGTGGGTAATGATGTTGAGTGAGGGCAACATTGGAGGCACTCATTACCTGATTATTGGTATGACATAATCCATTGATGTGGCTGGAACAAAGGTTAATGCAGGTTTTTGACATTTCAGGTTTGGTCATATGAGCGAGAAATATATGACGTCCCTACTTTCTGAAACAAGCTTGAGGATTTAAAATCTATAGATTTAGATTTTTGTGAAGAGCGTGTATATGACAAACAAATGAATGTTTCTTCAAATTGGGTCAATGGTGATGTGTAAGAAGCTAGAGTTAGTGCATACTATTGTATGAGGTCCCACTGTAGTTTAATCCATTGAAGGTTCTCATTATTTTATCACTTTTATAAATGATCACCTTAGAAAGTTATGTGTTTACTTCTTAAAGCATAAATATGATGTATTTGAGATGTTTAAGAGTAGAAGCTATCATAGAAAATTATACATATTTGATGTTGAAGTGTCTCAGATCAAATAATGATGACGAGTGTCATGATCATAGGTTGATGAGTTGATGTGCTTCAGAAGGAATCGGGCATGATTTCACTGTTCCAAGGACACCGCAATAGAATGGTGTGATTGGGCTTATGAATAAAATCATCAAAGAGTGTGATAGGAGTATAAGATTGCATGCAGGCTTGCCAAAGCAGTTATGGGCAAAAGCAGTGAACTCTACAGTTTATCTGATAAATTGTGGTTCATCAGTTCCTTTGAATGAAAACTTACCTGTGGAAGCTTAGAGTAACAAAGATATAATTCTATCTCATTTGAAATTATTTGGATGTTCAACATATGTTCATGTTGTTGTAGGATACAAAGTAAACTTGACTAAAAATCTGTTAAGTGCACTCTCATTAAATATGATTTAGATGAATTTGGGTACAAATTTTGGGACCATCGTAATCAAAAGTTTATAAGGAGCGGAGATGTTCTATTCAATGAAATGGAGATGGACAAGGACATGAACACAACTTAGGATTGTCCCCCGTCAGCTACTTTCGAAGAGTCATTCAAGACATAAAAGACAATGTTGATCGGGAAGATGGAGAAAGGACATGGACTCAATCTGATGAAGCTTAAGAAGTTTCTTAGTCACCTGTTACTGAAGTTAGGAGGTCCAACAGAGTCACACAACCAACATAAAGGTATTTTCCTTCTTTATATTATCTTTTGCTAACTGATAGTGGTGAACTAGAGGTCTATGAAGAGGACACTCATGTTGAAGATTCAAAAGAGTGAGAGTTTGCCATGGATGATGAGATGAAGTCATTGAGGTTAAATTGGACTTGAGATTTGTCATTATTACTAGATAACAAAGAGTCATGCACAATAAGTGGGTCTACATGCTGCAAGTAGAGTCAGATGATAACAAATGCTAATTAGAAAAACTTTATGTGAAGGGGTTTTAACATAAGAAATGAGTGAACTACATAAAATATTTTCTTATATAGTAAATATGACAACTTTAAGTTGTATTGAGCTTGGTAACTTGAACGTGTGATCTTCAATCTTTCATATCCCATTTTTAGGATCATTAATTTTTGGTGCAGAGTTCTTCTCGGTGAGATAATCATCTTTTTCTTCACCACAGAAACACATAACAAATTGAGACCATTGGAGGAAGTTGTTGCCATGTAGTTTGTCATTGGTGATGCAAGAAAAGATTTCGGATGCGACCATCCTTGGTTTAGGTTCAGAAGTAGCTTTCATGCCGTAGATTTTCGCTGGAGAGAAAAGCTGACTGTTTTCGACCACCAATGAGAAATTTTGTTGCCTGCACGAGATTTTTTACTAGAAAGAAGTTATCTGTCGTCAACACGAGAGCGAATGTCTGTCGTTGACATACGATTTTCACTAGAGAGAAACTGTCTCGCCTTATGGACTCAATCAGAGAAATTCATAAGTTTCCCTTTGACAACGAAGGTCAAGTGATGTCACAGTTAAGAAGTGTCACCACACAATTAAGGAGTGTCACCACACAAGAAGGTCTGATGGAGGCTGCTGGGTGGTACTGAGGCGAGTAGAAGATCGGCGGTGGCTGCTGGAGAAGCCTGACATGCACTGTTGGGTGCTGTAGAAATGCAGAAGAGACATAATTTAGTTGAGTGTGATATTTCTATACAATCAATATTTTGTTTTTATTTATATCTATTAAAAATCATTTTCGAAATTAAGATCTGATAGTATAATATTATAATATTTACATCATTATATTTATTCAATATAATTATATATAAATATTAGGTTATTTATTATTTATATCGTAATATCATTTATGTTATAGTAAAGAAAATGCTCATTTAATATAGCATTTATTTAATATGGTCTAAATAATTGTATTCAATAAATATTATAGTATTTGTAATGTAAATAGATGTTATGCCCTTTTTGGCCATTTATTTTTAACTCTAGTTTATACGCTCATTTATATCTTCATTCGTTTATATAACTTAATAAATCCTATTACATCTCAGTATCACAATTATCTTTTATTAATATTATGCATTATGCCTATTAAAATTACATATCATATATTTATTTTGAAGTGTTTATCTTCTAATTTTTTTTCATTTATTTTAGTTAATGTCTCCTTGAAATTATATCACATGCAAAAAAGAATGCATTAATGTCTCTCATTTTGAGTATTCATTCAATGCATATTTATAACCAACATAAAGTATACTTGGCACCTCATTTTAAACATTCATTGTAAGCATTAATATAGCTCATGATTGTAATAGTATTAAGATAGTTTTAACTATAGTAATGGTAATAAACGGTGATATCAAATATATAAATACATAATAATTTTTTTTATGTTGAAGTGATAAAAATTATATTAATATATTGTTATTTTATTATATAAATTATTTTAAAATAATTTAAATATTTATTACATCATTCGGTGTAACTTCCAGTTTAATATTGGTTTAATCATTGAATCATGAGCCTTTTTCTCTTCTGGTTTGATGCCCGGTTCGAGTTTTATAATCTTGATATTAATAGTGGTGATGATGATATGATATCAGTGATAATAATATTGGTACTACAAATAATGATAATTATAATAATTATAATAGTAATAATAGTATTTGTAATTATATTATTTGTAAATGTAGTAATAATAGAAGTGATAATTGTAATATAATAATAGTAATAGTAATAAACAGTGAGTAATAATAATAATCGTAGCATTTTACATACATAGCACACAATTCTTATGTATTTATATATTTAGCTACAAAACTTTCATATTTACATGGTACTAAACTTTAGTATTTACGTGCATGACACTCTAATCTTTAGCATCACAAAAACATTATTGTGTCCGACTTTTCAGAAGTGAAATACACATGTTTATGTATATGTTTATAACATCAAAAGGGTATAAGTGTAAATATCAAACTTTTAGTGTTAGATATGTAAATAAATTAGAATTGTTGTATGTGTACAAATTCTCATACTAAAAGTTTGTTCTATCAAAAGAAATCTTCACCTTAAAAAAAAAAGAAATCCTTTCCTCGAGTTAAACTTCATGCATTATTATGAAACATCGAAGTACACTTTGTCAATTTGACCTATTTGCACTCCTAATGGATGATATCAATATTAACTTAGTAGGAACATAAAATGACTTTTTGATGTTTATGTAAGATGATGGATATTTTCAAATATGCTCCCAATGATCATTTAATTTGAGCCCATGTTTTATTTTTTCGTTGCAGTGTGGCTCTTCTCGATCAGTTGCTCCAATCAAGGCCGGCTTTGTTGCTCGTGTCGGTCGCCGTAAAGCGGTTGCTTGATTCACCCATGATTGCTTTGCCGTGAATTTTTTCAAGCATTCGAGCCGATTCGACATTTGAACCATGTATTTCTCTCCAAGTTTTTTTGTGCTTTGTTGTTCCTTTTTTTTATCTTAAATGGTGAATTGATGCAATGAGCTGCTGGATGTTGATTGTTAAGTTACAGAATTACTTAAGAAAATGCTGCCTGCTTCTATTACTGTTGTTCAAATGCTGTCCTTTAAACAAAGATATAAATGTTAGAAGAATAATTTGCAACATATTTTATCCACTCGATTTCAATGCCAAATGACATTATATGGTGGCAGGGGGGGTTCAGCAAGCTGATGCATGCTCATTTACATACATAGCACCCTATTTCTATGTATTTACATATCAAGTACCCAAATCTTTCATATAATATCAAAAGAATCAACTTTTTAACTTTTAAAAAGTGAAATACAGCTTTCCATGCATAGTTAAGGTGGTGGTATGTATGTAAAAAGTGAAGTTTATGCAAATACATGGAAATTGAGTGGTATGTATGTAAATATTCTCTTATTTTTATTTTTATTTCAGAGTAGGACTTATGGCTGAAGCTGCTATTCTTTGGCAGCCCAAAAAGCTTGTCTGAATCAAGAAAACAATACTTAATTCAGTACAGTTCATGTTTTAAATTCGTTTTGACAGAATTGATCAATTTAAACTATTATGCATAATATTCTCTCTAAAATTTAATTAGGATGAATCTCGAGTCGTTTGATTTACTTTAAAAAGAGTGCAATATACAAACAGTCAATTAAAGTAATTATTATCATCAAAGCTAATGAATTAAGCACAACACTTTGCTGTGCAACATATGTGATCTGGAGCTTCTTGTAGGTGTTACATTTGATGATCATAAGGATATGAATGATACCCTCTCTCTATTCCCACTACACCTCATCTTCTATTTTATCTATGAATTTCTAGACCTAAACAGAGAGCTCATTGACACGGAGTATCTTAATCTTGATTCGGAAGAGTGACACAGGAGCGTCAATATTAGTGTTGTCCATATTATGGTAAGGTTTAATTTTTATGTTTTGGTTCTCTGTTTTTATGTGTTTTTCTATTTGGATGACAAACTTGTAATAAGAGGGGTCTTAGTGTTTATAAATAGGATGTCATGTGTTGTATCGCGGTACTGTTGGAATTATGTAGAAAGATGTGAAAGCTTTAACTCCGTAGATTCCTGGATAAGAAAGTATTTGTATCAAGTATCAATGGCATCGGGTGGTGACAACTATGTCCCTTTGTTGTTGGTAGTGACATCTCGGGTCTCTTGTATATTGTATCTTTTGTCTGATTCTTATTTACATTTTCTTCCATATTTTTCCTGATTTTCAATTTCTTGTTTTTGATTTCAGTTTTTTTACTTTTTTATACTGTACCCTAATTATATGCATTAAGTTAGCACCACGTCAGGATTTCAAAAGACATGAGATTACCAATTCATTATAAAAGTAGAAAATGAAGCCGAGAAAGTTCAAATTTGTCAGTTTCATGCGGATTATGTGAAGCAGAGTGAATTAAATTTTTATTTTCTTTAGAAATATTTTAAAATAAAAAATTAATATTTTAAATTTAATTTGAGCTTTAGTTCGAATAAAACATGAAATTAATTCAAACAGATGATTTTAATCAGACCGAACATGAATAGACGATTAATAAGTTATTTCAAACATGCGCCGAACGTGAACAAAACAAAAAATAAACAATTCGAATATGAATAAGCCTCTAGCTTGCTCAACTTTGATCATTTACACCTCTATTAGTGATGCCCATATTATATTGAAGTTCAATTTTTATGCTTTATTTCTTTTATGTGTTTTTCTATTTGGATGTGAAACTTATATGGTATAGAAGGTTTTGTGTTGTATTAGCAGACTTTTGAAATGATGTAGAAAGAGGTGTGAGCTTTAGCTCCATAGATTTCTGGATGGAAATGTCTCTGTATCCAAGATTTCATGTGGTGGCAACAATATCCCTTCGTTATTGGTGGTGACATCCCGTTCTTTTGTATATTGTATCTTTTATTTGGTTAGTGTAATCTTTTGTATTTTCTTTCATATTTCTTTGATTTTCAGTGTCTTGTTTTTTATTTCTATTTTTTACTTTTTCTTGCTATTTTCTTGTTAATTTATGCACCCATGCCCCCTTTTGCCAATTTCATTTTGGTATCAAAGTTTTGGATTCTTGACTCCAATTATTGTCAAGATTGTTTAGTCAAGATTCTCTAGCCTTTCTTTTGTATGTTGTCGAGCAATTCCATATTTTTGTTCACAAATTAGAGGTTTCTTGGCATTACATCTTTTCTGTTTATTATAGTTGGCGAGATTTCTACTCCATATTGTCCCCACTGGTGTTGTTCTTGCTATTTTCCTTATTTCGAACTGTGATATTCTTCTCATTACATTGTTTCTTTTCCCTTCTTGTCGCCCTTAAGATAAAAAGAATTTTCTTGCTGCATTTTAGATAATCTCTTTATCTATTCTCATATGACTGTTTTTGAAAATAGTTTATGTATACATTCAATTTTTTTTTTCAATAATTTATTGTTTACCTTGAAAAAATAGAAAAACATTGGCCTAGACATTTTTCATTTCCCATACGGCTGTCGGCATTTTCAACATTTTCTTAGGAAAGAAACAAGAACATTTTTGGTTTAGCCTCTTCATCTAGCAAATACTTGGAGAGAATAACTAGCAGATTAATATTAAGCATGAAGAATGTGTGATATCATTATTTCTTAGAGACTCAGAAACCTATAACTCAGGTTACTGAAATTTTATTACGAGTTTAGATCAACAAAAAACCAATTCAGGTTCTTGCAGTCACTTTATTATCCAAACAAATTCCTACCACCTATTCAAAATTTAGGTGTCTAGAATCTGAAATTAGTCCTAATTATGTTCATGTCCCAGAAAAATACTTCGTTGCGATAGTAGTGGTGGAATATGTGATTTTTATAAGCAACGATCGAAAGAGGATTCAACTCATCAAATTAGGATAGATAAATCTTGAGGGTTCTTATTGAATACTATTTGTAAGAAAAGAATTGCATATGAGATCACTTGGAAGAGATCGGTTCAATGAAGATGAAGAAGGAGCTCCTCCCACTCGAGGAGAATGAGACTAAGTGTCTTAATCTTGATTCGAAAGAATGATGCAGGAACATCAATACTAGTGTTGTCCATATCATGTTAAAGTTCATTTTTATATTTTGCTTCTATGTTTTATGTGTTTTTCTATTTGAATGACAAACATGCAATAAGGGGGCCTTAGTGCTTATAAATAGAAGATCTTGTTTTCTATTACGTGAATTTTAGAATGATGTAGAAAGATGAGAGTGCTTTTGCTCTGTAGGTTCTTGGATGGGCATGTGTCTGTATCTACCATGTCGGGTGGTGGGATTTAAATCCTTTCCTTATTGTTGGCGATATCTCGGTTCTCTTGTACCTTGTATCTTTTATCTATTAGTGTATCACCTTTGTATTTTCTTCCATATTTTTCATGATTTTTAGTTTCTTATTTCTGATTTACGTTCTTTACGTTTCCTCTATTATCTTGCTGAATTATGCACCCATACCCCCTTTTGCTGATATCACTCGTAGAGTAATTGAATTGGAGTTAAAATGTTACATAAGAGATCATAATGATCACTATAATTTTGAGTTAAAAAGGAGACTTCTAAAGCTTCTTATTTCATGTAATACTTCATACACACCTTATTTTTTGCTCCCTCAACTCCGTATGAAAAAAACTTAGGGGTATTTACATACATCACACACAGTTCTTATATATGTACATATCTCACACTTAAACTTCCATATTCACATGTCATAGATGAGATCCAAATACAAGACCATATTTTCAAAAAATTATTTTATTCGAGCGTCGATGATTTTCAGGATTTTATTTTGAAAGAGAAGACCGATGTGATACTTGATGATTAATGTTGGTAGGCAGTTGTTATGGACATCTTCACCTTAGAAGCTACTTTTGTGTTGCGATCTAAAACCTATAATTGCTTGGTAGGTTTAAACTATATAATTCTTGATATCTTTACATTATTTTATTTTATTTCATAGTATTCTATGATTTCATCATAATCTCTCTTATATATAATCTTAGTGCTTTCCCTAACATAAATCATAATATTAAATGTAAATTGCTTTCACCTTTAGCGGTGGTGTTGATGAGAGCTCAATAATAAGAAACTCCATTATGTGCTCAATAGTTGGACAGTACAATTATGGGCTTTAGCAACAATGCCTTGGACAAATGGGCACACATTATATAAAATTATTTTTTGGTTAATAATAATACATTGCAATTATTGGCTTTTAATTATAGATTTTTTTTCTTTTATGATACTAATATATATACATAAATATTATTTGTATAATACTATTCTACTTCAATAAATATAACTTTATTAATGGCACAACAAAAATACTAATATGAAATTAGGTGTCCTCTATCATTCTTTTTTTTTTTATTAATTTGAAATATATTTTGAATTAAAAAGTATTTTATAACAATTCATATATATAATTTTAAGCTATTTCTTAGCTACTAAGTTAAGATGTGATGGACATGGCTCATCTAGTCATCTCCTAGCAGTGTGCCCAATCAATTTTTGAAATGATGAACTTTTTACTTGTGTATAATATATTAACGAGCAGCGAGGAAGTAGTTATGCCTGCGGATTTCGGACGTAACATTACGTGTGGACTCACAGTAATATACCGTCATATTTGTTAAATCGGGCCCACCTAAAAATATATTAAAATGAAATCCCCAAAATAAACTCAAAATAATTTTGGAATAATCTCCACAGTTTAAAGCTTCAGTAACAGCTGAAAGCCGTGGCAAATCGAGGGAGAGTCCTGATAGCGAGTATCCTTTCTCTTTTCTTCACCAATTCCACCACCAAAACCCTCAGCTCCAGCCATGAAAATTGCCCAATGGTGCAGATCAAAAGGTACTCATCGCCCGCTACCAGCGAAGGCGATGTATATAACTCTTCATTTTCCTTCTGCGACTGAACTGCTGGAATTCGATTGCTAATGTTGATTTCCAATCTGTTGCAGGGAATGCGCACTGAATGAGATGGAGGGCGAGCGTTGGGCTATGGTGGAGAAATCTGGCACTCAGTTTCTGGTGAATGGCCAACCTTTCTTCGTAAATGGATTCAATACGTACTGGCTTATGGTCTTCGCCGCCGATCACTCCACTAGAGGGAAGGTCGGTGAGGTTTTTAAGCAGGCGGCGGCGTCCGGCTAAATGTTTGCAGGACTTGGGCTTTCAACGATGCGGGATGGCGAGCGCTTCAGATTTCTCCGTCGGTGTACGATGAGGAGGTGTTCCAGGTAATGAAGATGGTTTTGTGCACACGCTGTGTTTGAGGTATGCCTCAGTGAATGTGAGTTTCAGGGTGTTGCAATTACAGGGGCTGGACTTCGTGGTGAGCGAAGCTGGAAATCATAATATGAGATTGATACTTTCGTTTTGTAATAATTGGGAAGACTATGGAGGGAAAGCTCAGTACGTGAAGTGGGGAAAGGAAGCTGGCCTCAATCTTACTTCTGATGATGAGTTCTTCGTGGATCCAACCATTAAAGGTTACTATAAAGCTCATGTTGAGGTAACTCTTATCATTCAACCAGGTATCAATATGTCATATGTTGGCGCATTGCCTTGTAAATCCTTAGTGCAAAAAATAGAAGTTGTAATGAATAACTAAGAATAAACTTAAATAGTCGAAACAAGCTTAGGCAAATATAAAAACAAGAATTACATATATACAGTCTAGTTGTGCATGAGCACTACTTTATTGTTTTAGCCCGTTCGAGATCATTTCTTAGTGTTAACTGACTCGTCTCACCCATCATGTACTCTTTGGCGAGGATTCAGTGAGCTGTTTTGCTCAATGGGAATTCGTGTCTTCGGTGCTAGTAGAGGTTTGGTGGGTGCATGAGCATTTTAGTCTCGTATCATGGCTTGCTAACATTGAAGGTCAGTATGGCAACTCAGACGGTCACCGGGCGATCGACATACCAAATGCCGACGAGGAGAAACATAGAACGAATGAACCAGACAGATCAGATGCTGACAAGCTTATCAAAGGACTTCATCTACCAGAACATAGTCGACTTTATTCAAACCGATCGACATATAACTCTAACCCGAATTAATATTGATGAAGTAGACGTGAAACGAATGGTTGACGAGTTTCTCACCGACCAGATGAGTCAGTCGGCCTTATTGTATTCAATATCCTTGACTTTACTAAAATGTCACTCGAAAAGCTAATGATGATGGGGCTGATCTGCAATGTTGTAGGACCAAGACCCCATGTCTATAAATAGATGGCTTCATAATAAAGGGGTTACACATTCTTTATTGTTCATTATTATTCTTTTTCATCTCTCTTGTACGCTTTATTCCTTGGGTGTGATTCCTGGACACTTTTGGATTCAACATATCTTTTTGGTGCTGTGAGTTTGGAATTATGCTGTCAATAAGAAAAGGAGTGCAACGACAACAAAGGAGGTAGAAACCACTGAGAAAAACCCAATTAAAGTGGTTTGTACCAGAGAGTTTATGGAAGATCATTCAACAAGGACTGCATTACCTGAGAGCTCAGATCACTAACTAGAGTTCAGGACAGCTCGCAGAGGTACTAAGGGCAGTTGCAACCTTGGGAGCGGCCATAGTCTCAGAAGGAGAGTGGGCTCAACACAAAGAGCATAGCCCCCCAAGGGGAACAACCGACGAACAAAGGAAAGAGGACGAACCATCCGCAGAAGATGATCAAAGAGGTAATGTACCAGCGTAATGCTGGCTTCGCACCTATGAAGGAAAGGCACTGACTCGGGCAAACCGAAACATTGCGACAACCGAAGAACGCTTTCTCCCTGCAAGTCTCAGGAGATGAACCCACAGAGAAATTTAAATTGCTTGCGTTGGAGTCGTACAAGGGATGATCGGACCCCAACGACCACTTCACATCCTTTGAGTCTTCCACGTGTCTGTTGAAGATCTTAGACGCCTTTAAATGCAAATTGTTCTTTACAACATTGAGGTCGTTCGCTCTCAAATGGTTCATCGGATTGACCGTAGGGGTAATCACCTGCTTTGCGGAGTTCAATATTCTCTTTCTGTCACAGTTTGCCAGCGCTCTAAGGCCCAAGAAGAGTGCCTGATTCTTATGGCAACTAAAACAGGGTACCAATGAAAGCCTGCACTTTTTCATTGCACGTTTCCAGAGAAAAACACTGGATGTGAAAGACCTAAAGCCTGAAATGGCCAAGTTTACGCTGACACAGGGGGAAGGTCAGAAAGGTTCCGCTTCGATCTTGACCTTGCAGAACCCCAGAGTTTAGCTGAATTAGTGGACATGACTGATAAGTATATCAACACCTATGAAAATGTTCTCAAACCATCAAAACAGAGATACTAGAAGAGACCATCGCAAAACGGTTGGCAGAAATCTAGAGAGAGCACTCGAACACCCATTTGCTCTCGCTATGACAGTCATCCCCATAACGACTCAACTCATCACCGAGACGATCAAGGACGAGGAAAAACATAGAATCAGTGGTTGATTCACTACTGCGAGCAACCCCGCTATGAGCATGAAGTCCATCAAGCCACCCCTTTAAGGGTGTCTATAGTCGAGATGGTAGACGTCATCCATGACAAGGATTACTTCAGGAAGGCTCTGCCAATGAGGGCAAGCCCCTTCTCCGGGACAACAGGAAATCTTGTAAGTACCATAGGGACCACGATTACGACACAGAAGAATACAGACACCTCCCCAGTCTAATTGAAGAACTGGTAAAGGAAGGAAAGTTGAAAGAATTTATTGCCCCAGGGGCCGGGATCCAGAGCCAGGGCAAAGCTCCAATGAGGGGAGCATCCGACGGAACAATCCGTGCCAACACTATTCATGTTGTAGGATTCCATACTTGACAAAACTGAACTAACCAACCAAGCGAACAAGAAGAGGCAATAGACTGGGGTACTTTTCACCGCAACTTTCACCCGAAAACCCAAGAATCCCACGCCTATTTGCTTCACCGACGAAGGTCTGTCGCCAAAGGGAAATCTCCACAATGACGCTATTGTGATAATTGTAGTTAATAATTATGGGTAGCATTCTTATTGATACAGGAAGCTCAATAAATATACTATTCAAGCAAGCGTTTGACAAACCAAGTTTCATCATCGGCTGAATGACTGCACCAGCTATGCCACTATATGGCTTCTTGGGTGAAAGAAAGGAAGCGATAGGAGTGATCAAACTCTCAATAGGTTGGGGATAAAATGAGAAACAAGTCATGTTAATAGAGGACTTCCTTGTGGTAGATTGCCCTTCGATGTATAATGTTATCCTAAACAATTTCAAGGCAGTGGTCTCCACTTATCACGTCGCAGTCAAATTTCTGGGAGGCTGGGAGATTGCTACAGTTAAAGCTGACCTAGAGCAGTCATAGGTTGCTACTTGCGAGCTATAAGTAACGTGGAACACAACCCCTAGACATCCAGAACTTAAGAGGAGGTGGCCTCGAGAATAACGAGGCCACCCCTCGAGGTCCGAGCTATCTAAGGGGAACCAGGTAAATGTTTTCTGATCGGTGAAGCTTTTGATGCAAAACAAAGGAAGTTGCTGGTCCAGACCCTCAAGGAAAATCGAGATGATTTCGCATAGACAATCATCGAAATGCTTGATATACCGATCGATGCAGCCTGTCACAAATTGAATGTCGATCTGTCCTCTCGATCTGTGATGCAAAAAATTAGAAGCTCAACCATGAAACTGGCAAAACCCATTTGAGAGGAAGTGTGAAAGTTAAAGGATGCAATGTATATTTAGGAGGTGCAGTACCCCACGTGGGTCTCCAACAAAGTGATGGTGCAAAAAGCTAATGGAAAAAGGAGGATGTGCATGGACTTTATAAATCTAAATTCAGTCTACCTAAAGGATGATTATCTACTACCAAGGATTGATACCCGGTGGATTGGGCAGTCTGCCACTTGGTCCTAAGCTTCCTCGATGTGTTCTCAGTGTACCATCAGATTAAGATGCATCCCGTGGATGTGGAAAAAAACTTCGTTCATTACCAGTGAGGGAGTCTATTGTATAATATAATGCCCTTTAGACTCAAGAACACAGGGGCAACCTACCAACGCCTCATGGATGTAATTTTTACTAATCATAAGAGAAAAGATATTGAGGTGTACATTGATGATGTGTTAGTTAAAAGTTGATTGACCGCTTAATATATTGAAGATTTAAAAGAAACCTTTCAAACACTTTAAAAAATTTAACATGAAGCCAAACCCGCTAAAATGCATCTTCGGGGCTTTAACGGATAAATTCTTGGGGTATTTACTAACCCAGGAAGGCATAAAAGCTAACTTTGAAAAAATTCAAGCACTCCTAACATGCCATCTCCCATAAATACCAAATACAAAAACTGACCGATTGAATCACAGGGTTAAGCTGGTTCATCTCCAAATCGAGAGATAGATGCGCCTCATTCTTCAAGGTGCTAAGAAAAGCCCGGTGTTAGTGGACACCCGAGTGCGAAGAAGCCTTCACAAACCTCAAACAATCCCTCATTTCTCCTCCTCTCCTTCAAAGTCCAAAGCCCAAGGAAAAAGCTTTCCCCTTACTTAGGAGTCAGCCTAGAGTCAGTTAGTTCAGTTCTAGTTAAAGAAGAACTCAAAAAACAATACCCAATATACGACACTAGCAAGATCCTCAGGAACGCCGAGCTCAAATATCCGGTAATGGAGAAATTGACTTTCGCCTTGGCATTTCAGCGCTGAAGCTCCGACCATATTTCTAAATGCACTCCATACAAGTCATCACCGACCACCCTCTAAAAACCGTCCTTATCCGACTGGAACATTCTGGTCAGCTACTCAAGTGGGTCTTCAAACTCAGTGAATTTGATATCTTCTACATCCCCTGAAAGGTGATTAAGGCGTAAGCTGTTGCTAATTTCCTAGTAAATTTCTCTGAACCACAGGATGCAAAGGAAGAATTCATGGTCTACGGGTTTATTTGGACTTTGTTCATGGATGGTGCTTCCAACCGATCAGACGTCGGACTTGGAGTTTTTCTATGCAGTCCAATCGGGGAAAGTATCTACCACTCAATTGAGATAAATTTTAAAGTAACTAAGAACCAAACATAGTACGATTTGATTGCAGGTCTTTGCTTGGCCTCGGAGATGGGAACCCTCCGCATACTAGTAAAAGCCGATTGCAACTGATTGTCAACCAAGTCAATGGAGAATTGGAAGTAAGAGACGAAACAATGGCAAAATACCTCAGGAAAGTGAAGACGGAGATCCGTCGATTCGTCCACTTATGAATTGAATATGTATAAAGGGAAGAAAATCAGATCATCGACCTCCTGACCAGAACCCTTCATCTGGGAGGGGAACAACTTCAAAAACTTAGCCAACCTTCAATCGAAGTACCTCTGGCAATGGACATCCATAACAAAGAAAGGAAAAACTGGATGAACACATACGTCTGCTAGCTAAACACAGAAGAGATTGACGATAAGATCACCAATCATAGGAGATTCAAATCCAAGGCTGCCCAGTATCTATTGATTGAGGGAAA